TATCAAGCATTTACATTTGTTGAGCAATTCAAAACACAATCATTATAATTTCGTAAAGTGAACCTTTCAGTTATGAATTGAATGGTGTAATCCAACACATTATCCGCGCAAACCTGACTTCCTTGAGTTGAGACATATTCCTGCATGTTTTGTATAACATTACAAATTTGAAATGGCATTATAAAGACAAATTTGTAATTTGAAACTGCAAATTTAGTATGCAATTGTGAAAACCCATATTTAAATTATTTTTAAAAGAAAATAAATAAATAAATAAATTAATTAATTTTATTCAGAATCTACCTAAAATATAATAGTGTAAAAATTAGTTTTAAATTAACCCAATTTAATCACTAACGAAGACCTTATTAAGAATAAAAATGTTGTGGATGTTCAATAATTATTTAAAAAAAAAAAGATAAAGAGAATCAGATTCGGTGGCAAGGATATGCTACATGCTAAGTTGCATGTAGGCTTGGTAAATTCCACCATATCATGACTCTTGGGTAGAGTAAAATTGTGGCAGAGAATAACATAATGAGAAAGGAAAAGAGAGAGAGAGAGAGAGAGAGATCTGTCTATATATATCCTAGATAGACTAAGGGTTGGTTTGGGGTGTCCTAAAAAAGTACACTTTTTGTCTTTTTACGAAAAGATGTGCAGAAAAGTAGAGAGGTGATGTGATGGAAAAAAGATGGATTATATAGTTCATGCCAAACCAACCCTAAGCTATTCTCACATACAAACAAAAGAAGTATATACGGGTGAGAAGAGATTCAGTAGAAGGAAAAGAAGAATGGAAGGTTAAGGAAGCAAAATTTTTCTACCATTTCATCACCCATTTGAATCTCACTATTAAGTAAGAAAACCCTCTCAATCCTCTCATTTTTTTTTATATATTTGAAATTTTCAGATTATATACATATGATAAATTGTTTAAACTTGTAGATAGGATTTTATTTATACTTGTATAAAAATTTTATGATGGTATATTAAATATTGGTAATCTGAAAATCATGATAATATTGTGGAATTTGGACTTGCATGTATAGTTTATGCAATTAAAAGATTATTGAAGATGTTATTTGACCTTTTGAATCTGCCAGAAAGTTGTACAAATTTTTAGACAATTTTATACTCAAAATTTCGAGATGATTTCTTTTACAAAGTTGTTGAGAATGATATCTAGCTCATCCAGGAATTTTGGCAACAATTTTTTAGCTTTCTACGAATTTATACAAAATTTTAACTAAATCTGAAACTGTGTTGAAAATAATTTGTTTTGAATCTGCCAGAATGTTTCCCGGATTTTTAGACAATTTTATACTCAAAATTTCAAAATGATTTCTTCTTCAAAGTTGTTGATAATGATGTCTAGTTCATCCAGAAATTTTGGAAACAATTTTTGAGCTTTCTACAAATTTATACAAAATTTTAACTAAATCTGAAACTGTGAGACAGATTTTACTATGTATTTGAAAATTTATTTAAAATTCTATACTAAGCCAAATCTAGTAATTTCTAAAAGATGAAATTTGAGAAGTCTAGTTTCATGATAAATTTTTAAATTATGGATTTGATCTATAAAATTAAGCATGGAATTAATGTAAGGAAATGTGACAAATCTGTGTCATAAAGATTGCTGGAAATTTTACAAGATTATTTACATCTTATTTTTCTGAAATTCTTTCTGAAAAGTGACCTAAACATCCCTATTGAGTATTCTGTTCAATTGCGCGAATTTAAGAATTGTGTAAATAATTTATTTAAAATTTTAATATCTAAGTTATTATGTTCATACCATGGTTTAAATTAATTGTCTGTTAAATTTTGGACATTGAATAATTTGTGTTTATTATATAGAGTTAATGATAGAGGGTTAATACCGGTTATTCAAGGTGAGCCTTGATTTTTAATAATTTTTAAGTAAATTGTGTCGCGAAACCCTAAGATGGCACGGAGATTATTTGAACCCTTATCGGTATTTGGTTTTGGAATAAGGGTGGATGTGCGGGTGGCACGCAGGGAAGTTACGTACCCCGGGCAGACCGTTCCCTTGGGGCAGACACGGATGTCACGGCTTGGGTATATAACTCCAGGCGTAGGCATCTTTGGTAGTTCTTGAATATTTGACCAAGGGGGGGTTTCCAAATTAACCGTGGCCATGACTTAGTGGTTGGTAAGTTAAACTTCTTAGGCGAGATTTCAAAGGTCACCTGAGTTATTAAAATTATTTGAATTATTTTATTGGTTGTAATTTATGTTTATAATTATATTATTATCTCATGTTTATAATCTCGTTATTTTCTCTCAAAAAGAATGGTAGGTTGGTTATGTTTTCTTACTGTGTTGCAAAACTCATGGCATAAATTTTGTTGCCCTGGCGTTTTATGCTAGATTATGTCGAGGAAGGTACTGAGGCTGAAATTGGAGCTGCTACTAATATCGAACCTTGGCTAACTTAGAGTCAAGAATTTATCAAAATAAAATCCTATTATTTCTTGTATTAGTACTTAACTATATTGTGACATTGTGTGTGAACTTGTAGTTTTATTTTGTTATTGGACTTTGACTATGTAAGAATTTAAAATTTCCAAATTAGTAGTTAAAATTTTATCTAGCAAGTTATTATTATTTAAATCTTATGACGTTTCAAAAAAAAATTTGGGGGCGTCACAGCAATTTACAAATTTGGAATATAAAATGGAAAAAAAAAATTTACTTCATTCGGAAGTACAGTGTTGAAAAGAATGCTACCGTTCAAATGTAGTTGTTTGAATTATTTTTACCGGTTCAAAAGTTGAATGTCGAAAACTTTAAATTATATCGGACAACAACTTTCGAAACTAAATTATTATTTCGGTAGCAGACTATTGAATAAATTGATATATTTCAACCCTGGTTTTCCGAAAGACGCTTAAAAAAAAAAAAAAAAAAAAAGGACTTTTACATAGCAAAACTCACATTTCCTTGGCTATCTTTCTCATAAACATTTATCTGCTTCTGAAAATCTTAATTTTCAGAAGAGAAATCTTCCATAACTACGATTAATGAAGATGAGGTTTAGTGTGTAAACTAACGAAAAGCTAAGAATTAAGAATGAGAGTGTTTAATGTGTGAACTAATGAACGGAAGCAACCAATAAAGGGTTTCAAAGGATGAGGATGGAATGTGGAGGTTTAGCAATCCGAGTATGGAAGAATGGAGTAGCTACAATGGACTTGTGGAGCTTCAACAGCTTTAACGTGATGTGGATGTGGAATTTGGATGTGCAATGAGAACTAGTGTTTATTTGAATTGTGTGTGATATCCATAATAATAATTTCACTTAAGGATAAAATTGTAATAAAAATAAGTATCATCAAGTGTATGCACAGAGTGGAATGAGTGTGTGCAAATAGAAGCTCTCTTTTTTTTTTAATATTTTATTTTAAATCTTCAACTTTATTTAAACATTTTTTAATGTAACCACCAAATGTGAATTTTTGGCCCACAACAGATTGACAATGGAGAAAGAATTGGACTATTTAATAATAATAGGATAAATTATAAATATATCTTTTGAGATTTATTTAAAATATAGATTAGTTCCGTTGTTTTAAAAATCACATTTCATCCCTTTAAGTTTTTAATTGCATAACAATTAACTCATTTTATTAATAAAAATTATCAAACCAATTAATAATTTTTAATGATACCAAAAATATTTTTTAATTAACAATTCATCTAATTTTATTGTTGTATAAGATAATAATTATAATTTTTTTGTTAATTCTATTAAATAAAAAATTCTAACAATGGAGTATTTATATTTTTTAGAACTACATAAATTCGTATTTTAAACAAACTTTAATAAGTGTATTTGTAATTTACCCATAATAATAATATAAACAATTTAAAAATAGATGTTTAAATCACCACCCCAAAAAAAAAAAGAAGAAGTTAAGTACAGTTTTTAAAGTTATAATAGAATTTCAAATTCATTTTTAAAATTGAATATTTAATGTTAGAATAAAATTAATATCATAATTTCACATTGATTTGCAAATTAAAAAAAATCGTATCACTTAAAAAAAAACAGAAGCTAATTCTAAAGTTTTACAAAAAATAAAATATATATATATAATTCCATATACTAAATTCAAATAGTAAAATTCGACCAGAAATTTGATAATTTTTTAAATAAGAGATTTTAATTTAAGAGTGAAGTATATTTGGAATAAAAATATCTTAAATAATTGTTCCCAATAATTCTTCTCATATCATGTTTAGAAGTTGGAGGGTTCAAAAAAAAAATGGAGAAACGGGTAAATCAATTCAAACAGTCGGTTTGATTTGTTTTTTTTTAGTAAAGAGTCCGGTTCTAAAAATGGTAGAACCATTCCAATCGGATCTGGTTGGTTACGATTTTGAACCGGATCGGACCGTGATATATATATTTTTATATAAAAATTAAGATACAAAATGTTTTTTTTTTTTATAAGATTTGAAGACTAACTATCATCGTAAAATTGATGAATCTAACGAACTTAATCAAACTAATTATTATTAATTAGTTTACTAACATAAAATACATATTATATTTATTATTATGTAAGATTTCTAAAATCATATACTGAACTGAACCACTTTCTATGGTTCAATTCTAATCCGATTTGACGGTTCAGTTATGGTTCTAATTTTTCTAAAATTATAAAAAATAATTTGGTTCTTAATTTACTCTAAAACCGAACCAATCCAATTCGTGTACACCCCTATTTAGAAGGTGCAAACTGAAACAAGTTATGAATTCCCTAAGCCCGTGTCTGGTTAGAAAATTAAAAAAAATTAAAAAAATTAAAAAAAACATGTAAAATTAAATAAAATATAAATATATTTTATTCACATTTTATAATTTTTTTTTCCTTTCCAAATTCCTTCATAAATTCCCCGCCCCCGCATAAATTTCCAAATATCCACATTCCAAATACAGTTTCATATGAATCATATACATAGGCACATGCACGAAGGTTTCAAAATACTGCGTTAATTTTTTCTCCACTTTTTACTCTTCTGCTTATAACACTACACAGAAATCCATAATCATACTGTTAAAGCCTACACAGATGCGACAAGATTACAGATGCAACAAGATTTTTCTACCACCCAAATATCAATATCCCTAAACCTCCTAAGATTCTAAATTTTGCAATTTAAAATGTTATCTTTTTTATGCCTAATATTTCTGACAACGTTCAAAACTCGCTTTCGATAATCAATTCAGCTGCCGCACCCATCGCATCGATCCCGCTAATGCCCAGCAGTGCCAGGGCCAGTTCTTCCTCATTCCACTGTCTCAATCCCCTCCCCACTCTCTTCAATACATCCACATCCACTTCTCGCATCCACATCGGCGTACATCCCACCATCAAGCTCACAAACCCTGACACGTAAGCCCGCCACAAGGCACAATCACAACCGAGCGATATTTTTCCATCAAGTGCACTTGCTAAGAACTCTAAATGGGCCCCGATAACATTTTGCCGCCACGTAGATGCCAGTGATGACGAGTCCACTCCCCAAGCGAATGTACCCAAAAGCACCACAAAGTATGCAAGAGCGTAGCCCCTTAGCATTGCAACTATCCCTCCAGATTCCCCTATGTCGAGCTCTGACTTAATAAACCAAGACGGTAAGGTTTCTCTAATTAAAGATTGAACCAAACTTAATCCACCAGTTATCCAAACTAACGAGGCACCTAAAGTAGCTGCGAGCTTTACACGTGTCATCGCTGCAGCAAGAGAAACCTGACCATATCTCATCCCGTACTTTGTCTTCTTCAACTTGTCGATTTTCTCTGTGCGGAGCCCACAACTCGCGATATCTTTAACAGAATGCATCAGAAGGACAATGATTTCCTCTGTAATGAACATGAGATTTCTGATGGATCGGTGCACTCTCAAGTAGAGTATTCCGGGGGCTACCGGAGAAATTCCACCGGAAAAATGGGACCCGAACCCATGGCCAAGAAGGGCACCGACACTGCCATTGCTCGAGATGGGAGAGGAATTTAGGCCAAGAGTGGAAGTAAAACAGCTTTTTAGGAGCTGATCGACAGCATCAGTATTGTGATGGAAGACAGTACGGGATGCTGTGAAAATAAGAAAGTCGCTCCAACGCTTTACTTTCAGAGCCCATAAGGAGGCTATGATGGGAAAGCATGGCCAGGGGCAACCGGATGCGATGCTAATCACAGCTGGGCCAATCAGAAACAGCAAACGTTCAGTGGCCCTATCTAACTTGTATGTTATTGTGAGGCTTACAAGGGCAGCCAAGGGTAAGGGCAGTGTAGCTGGAGAGCTCCCTCCTACAACAAAACAAATTTTACTTTCAACAAATTAGATTACCAAAGCATGAAATTCTGGTGTTTCAATTTTCCTCAATACATGGTGTAAAAAAAAATCCTCAATACTCGTAAAAACTAAAAGGTGGAATCAGTAGAAGTCGTATTTCCAGTTCAACTAGTAGTGATTTTTCCATTGTAAATGCAAGCCTATAAACTATTGCTCAACAATGGGACATCAAAAAATGCAATAAGAAAAAGAACATACCTGCAGCAAGGCGTGGGACATCAACGCCGGTGCCAGCTAAAATTTTCTTTATCTGTTGCTCAACAATGGCTAAATTTGAGGCAGGAGTTGGCCAATCAGTACCATTCATAGAAGCAGGCTTCCAAATGCCCCGAGTAACTTCAGCTGAAAAGTAACTTACAATAGTAGCCAAGGATGCAGGAAGAAAATCAGCAAGATCTTTGAGACCTGTAATGAAACAGGCAAGACGGCCTTTAGCAACAAACCAACACCAGTGTATAGCTAAACTAGAAGAGGTTAGAACAGTCAGAAAACCAGATTTAAAAGGAGTAAGCTAAAACAAAAATACACACAAATATAATTCTGATTCTTTTTCCCTCCTTCAGAATCGGATTGCAAAGTAAAAAACAGGTTCAAAATGCATATTTTATCCAGCTTGAAAAGGCTATAATTTACAAATAAGAAAGGGTCTATCTTCAACACTACCTCTTCCACTTAAAAGAGTTGGTTTCAATGATTTACATGCATAAAAATGTGAAAGCATTTACGCAATCTCAAGAAGATTGGACTAACCAGTCACCAGTTCACGAGGAGACAATCTTCCATGGGCACATGCTGTCAAAGCAGCATCAAGCACAAAGGGAACAGCTTCCAGAATGTCCCAAGCTGGTAATTTCAGTCTAAGGGAGGCATCTTCCATCACAGTTCCAGATGAATTACTACTTCCAGAAGTTGTAGGAGTCAGGGGTTGACCACTTCTATTTACTTTTCTGAACATCATGTTCAAAAGCCCATCAACAATCCGATGAACAGGGCTCCCGTGTACAAGACCAGAGAGGGTTGAAGCAATACATTCTTGATGCTGCCGGTACCAGTATTTTAACTTTGGAAAAGAATCCATGAATATTGGTTCCGTAGATGATGGACTGGCAAATTTTGATATTCTCTTGCTTTTATGTTGATCCCTGGGTGTGTTTGCATATGATGCTAACTGAGAGTTTCGGACCAATAAGAGGTATTCTGGAGTTAGTTGGGATCCCATTGGGGCCACATCTCCCATAACATGTTCATGAGGTGGATGATCAAACCTCCATAGCTTCAGCAGAAGAGTGAATGCATTGGAGAACACAGCACGGGAAGAAATTTCTTCACCTGTTGTAAGATGCCATGAGTCCATGGGTGCACATGAACCAAAAACCTCACAGATAGGCATCAATGCACCTGCCAGTTGTGGAATCTGGAAGGACAATTAAACAACATCAAATCAATGCCAAATATGAAGGATTTGAGTTTTTTCCATCTCATGTGCATCATATCTTTTACTTATCTCTCTCTTGATTTAGATTCCATTCTGGTCTTTCATACATCTTACAAATTTAAATTGTACATCATGGAAGGGAACAACCACGAAGAAGTTTTGGGAGTTCATCAATTGGTTGGACTACACCTGACATCTAGGTGATGTGTGTCTAACCATTCATTAATGAACATAGACGAATGCATCATGAAATAACGCATATTGAATGCATTTTTCACTCCTTGGACGAGGAGAGAGACATTTTTTATCGCCTACTTTTTTGTACAATTTCTTCAACATATCACAATGAATGAAAACTTCTGCTCTGTTCTTAGCAATGTATGAAGTATACGAGGTATAGCATTTATAAACTCTTTGCATACCCCGACTAAGAAAATATAAAGATATGTATATGCATATGTATATATAAACATAAAAACTTCACATGCTAGCTCCCTTCATAAATCTTGTAGTCTCTTAAACAAATTTCACCACAAAAAAAAATCAGAAGGAAGCATGGTGGAAGAAGTTCAACCTACCATGCCATGTAAGGAAAAAATCTGAACACAATCAACAGATGATATTCCGGCAAGGAGAACATTCAAAAATGGAGCATAACGTATCAAATGGCTCTCACTCCCAGAATAATCTGCAGGAACTGGAGGAGACAGCAATGCTGTAATCAAAACAACAATATGTTCCTGCAAATATAGAGCAAAATGTGCTTTGAATAAACTATTGCTCAACAATGGGACATCAAAAAATGCAATAAGAAAAAGAACAGAGAGAAAGAAAGAAGTGGCTGTTCATTCAAAATAAAACAAGATAAATAACATGATACTTTAGGGTAATTGCAATAATGTGCACCCTGGTACCTGTATATTCCAACCACGTATTAGAGAATCCCCGCAGAGAATTGTCGCAGCCGATATCTTCTCATCATCTGAACAGTTGACTGCAATCTCATATATTTTCTCTATTTCTGCTAAGCTTCCATCAAATCCATGAGCTTAAATTCAGTTGCCTTACCACTGGTAAATATACAAAAAAGAGCAACTGATATACCTGGCTTCAGGAAAGAAAAGGCTTTAACTGAAGACCAGGCTATAGTTACAAAATAAGGAATGTAATAGATACTAGTATAGTTTCCACTTTCAAATAATTTTAAAGATAAAGGTTAATTGAATTTTACCCCCTTTTGGTTTGACTCAAAAACACATTACCTCCCTATGATTTAGAAATATACACATAACCCCCTTGTAGTCCAGAGTAAAGTGCAAAAGTAATGAAATCTGTTAAATTTAACTAGGCATGTGTAGCAAGCACCAAATTGAGAGCATGTGACCAGAGGGACAAACATAGTAGTGCCTAAATAAACTAAAAATAACATTTTTGCCCTTTCTATTTTTCATTCTTTTCTTCTTTTTATTATTTTGTTTTCTACTTTCTTAATAACAGAACCACTCCCCTCTTCCCTTTTTATTTTCACCACTGCACAATGTCCCTTCATTCTCAAAGATAGGTTACCATGGAAAAAAAGGGGGCTTAAGAAAAAAATATTTAGAAAATACAAGTGTCTGCATACCTTGAAGCCGGAGTTGAAACCAAGGCATTTACCAGTGGAGGTGTTAGAGGAGAACCCTTCATCAATGATGACCAACCAGGCATTTGGCCAGAAACACTACGAGGTATTTGGTTGCTGCGGCCTTTCACATAGCCAGGCCACAAATATGCTGACGTGTCCAGCAGATTTCTGGCAATACAAGCCTCAACAATCAGATGCCTCATGTTTCCAGCTGCAAGTGAATTCAAATTAATCAGAAGATTCTATATATACCTTAAAAATATATATAAAAGCCCAACAGAAAATAAAAGATATATAGCTAAACATAGCTTCATCTATGTAGGCACACATTTGTGAGTGTTCCCAAATTATGCTTGTTAGCATGCATGTGCACCCAATTTTCTGTGTCTACTTGTGCACCTAGTTCAGTTCAGATTGTTCCCTAACAACATAAACACTTCGGACAGCTGATGATCTAACACGGTTGATATATTGAAAAATAATTGAAACTCACAACAATTCACTGGCATATCATTCAAGCTCACACCATCAAGGTATCCGCTGCTGACTGTTAGGCCTGAAAGGAACATCATTGCTTTTGCAGCAGCCTGATTGGCTGCCGAAATTACAGGTAAGGGTGGAGCCAACAAGCCTTCATAATCACCCAAATGCTGTAGACTAGAAACTAAATCCCTGTGGCGCTTTCCTGAAACATGTTTCTCTTTCCTTTGACTGGTGGCACTGCACTCGACTTCATTATTGAGGGCAGTTTCCTCCTCCTCAATAATATTAAATACTGCAAGTGTTGTCACAGACAATAACAAGCACAAGCACGTATCTATACGAGGTATAGGAGCTTCACTAGGATCTCTTTCCTAAAAAGAACCAAGAGGAAAATTAAAAAATAATAAATATGTGAACAGCACAAATTTCTAAACACTTGGATTGCATATAACATTATGAACAAACCAATCATCCAAATCAGGTATCATGCAAAAAAAAAAAAAATCTAGTAGAAAGCATATAATAAAATATTAAAACAGAACCACATGAAGTCAACCTTGCATGAATCTTTGTTGAGATACAGTTTCATTTATAATTCGAACATGTTGTCTCCAGATATATACGAGTAGACAAGATCCTCTTGCCATATGGCACTTTTCCAGTTATGAGACTTTCCTCATACCACATATAGATAGTCCATACCAATGCACTAGTCTTGGATCGTAATTCTCAATACTAGTCAAAATCAAAATGAAATTAACAAGACCAGCGCCAATTGAACAGAAAGATTACTTAATTTATAGTAACTCACAATCGAAACAAATTACTCAATTTTGCTGAAAATGAGAAATAATTGACAGACTTGTAAAAGTAAGAGAAAAAGTAAAACTTCCCCCAATGTTCCTAGAAGGCTTTGTAAAGCCTGTCCAAAAATGACTGACCTTAAATCAAATGATTACTATGACAAAATTTACACGAGTCTCACCCTCTGAACAAGCCGTAGAGCTGCAATCCAGAGGCCAAGAAATGTATCCTGCCAGGTAGTTTGATTGACAGCCTGAAGAGCCTTCACTAAGCCTGCAATACTAGTCTACTTTAGTGGTGATATAGTTCGGGAGAACTAAAGTCGCATCTTTTTTTTTTAAGCAATAATTTAAGCATTAAAGAGCAAGAAATGACTTGTACCAGTAAGAACTTCAACAGCACTTGTAGCTGCCACTTGTGATCCGTCCATCGTATCTTCCAGATACAAATCAAAAGGAAGCCAAAGTGCAGAACGACTAGTGCCATGACATTGACTGGCAGAAGATGCAAGTGACCCAGAAGCCATTACTGCATGAAATTGTTTCTGTGAACTTGTTTTGCATTCACGGGACAGGACGTTACGCGTATCAGATGTTAACTGTAGAAGAGACTCTGGGTTTATATTTTTTGAATTTCTCAATGCTGATGAGTTTGCAGCAAGCAGTCGCACGTGCTGAATGAAACATCCCCAGTGTGAGAACCTAAGAGAAGAAAGAGAGTTATGTACAAACAAGATTCCATCCAATAAAGTAATCCAATAGGTACTGCTTGTCCAGTCCAAAATTCAGACAAACCAGACTGTTGGTCAAAAAGTCTCTCAAGGAATTGCTTGTTTTTCAATCCCATGGTGACAATTTCAAAGTTAGACAGCACAAGAAGCCAACAAAACACAAGCATAGATATAAAATCTTACAGATTTCGACGTGCCAAGTAAAGAATCCTGGAAATCACTTTATGTTTGAAAAATTCTCCGATTATCTCAACAGCCATAACAGTATTTATTTTGTGCAGCCCCTCATGTCGTTCAGTTCTCTTCTGATCAAAGCTATCATGACTGTCTATTTCCATATCCTGTTTCCCAGTTAGCCACCTAGATTTCCTTTCTGGTGTAAGTTCCAGCAGTCCTTCATCGTCTAGTGATGCATCAAGTAACTGCCATACAATTGAAAAGACAAATCCAACTACGAGTAGCCCAGGTTCAGATGCTGGAAGGGAAAATATCTGGGAAAGATGAAGAACTTCGTCTATTGATTTCATGATCCTGCAAATCCATTCTTATGTTAATCTCTTCACATGCCAATTGCTTGAACCAGAACTGAAGAAATCCATTTTATTAAACACAAACAAAAATGACACGACTGAGTAAATGACAATGAAGAAAATAAAGCAAAAATTGAGATGTAAATATAACTGAAATAAATAGAGTAAAATTAAAACTCAAACTGAACTTACTTTTCATAATTTGGACAACTAATTTGAGATGCAAATGAAAAAGCATGTCTCTTAAGGAGCTCTAAATAAAGCCTGTAAGCCGCAGGATGCAACCGTCGACTTGGAATCACACTGTTACAAGCAAAGATTGAGTCAGTCAAAGTATTAAATGATTGATCAAAGTGGAAAAATATATAGTATTCAAAGCAAAGCCATTCTGTGTAAAAAGCAAGGCAATGCAAATATGTAAGACTTTGAAGGTTAAACAGAGGCAAGTAAACTCTAACTTGGTACTTCCGACCTACGACTTTTAGGTCAAAATAGCGATTGGACCTACCAATCAACCACATATTAGGCCAAAATAGTAGTTCCCACCTTTCTGGTTTTACCAAACCATATGTTGCAATAAAGAAAATCCACGAAATTAAGCAACTTTTAAAAAAACAATGGAGCATACGATATCAGTCAGCACAAAATAAATCTAAGCTTCATTTCACACCAAAACCAATATGCGATACAAATGAAGCACAACTTATAAAATCACCATTTACACAGTGTCAACTGTCCAAAACAGTGGAAGAAACAAACTCTAACTTCCTCATGGTAATGAAATATTCCCATGCAATTAAGTCATGACAAACTGACAAATAAATAAATCCAGAGATTTATTTTGTAAAGTCTCTATTCCTTGGTAATCAAAGGGTAAAAAAAGATAATCACTATGTTACATTACACATAAAGTAAGGATGCAAAGGATAAGAGGAGAAAGAATGCTCAAATTCAAAATCCACCATGGGGAAGCAAAAAAATGACAAATAAATAAATAAATCCAGAGATTTATTTTGTAAAGTCTCTATTCCTTGATTTATCTTGTATTTCTTTTTATCTATCCATTAAAGGGTAAGCAAGCAGCAACTTTCATCTAAAAAAGATGTCAAGAAGTATCTCAAAAAAATTCTTTCAAGGCCCACCAATAGTTTTAATTTCATTAGGTCCATATCTCTCCCCCCCTCTCTCTGGTCTTCCTGTTGCTCTCTCTCTCTCTCTCACTTTCTCATGCTGCAAACACATATACAAATGGACCTTTCGTCTAGGTGGTCCCTAGGTACAAAGTGTGGAATGCAGTTGCAAGAATTCAGGAATTACAATCATCACTTTACAAGCAACTTGCTCTCTCTAATTCTAGATTTTGGAAAATCAAAGATACAATGTACAGGATGAATGGGGCCAATGGTATGAGAGGCCAACTATAGTGATCAAGGCTCTGGTTACACTGCATCCGCCATACCATCAAATCACATCACCACCTCTTATAGTTGCAACAACCGCTACCATTACTTAAAGACCTTGGTTGTGATAAATGTTACATTGAGGTCTCTATTTAACAAAATATTGTGAATAAATCAAAAAATATCACGACATATCGCATAAATGTCACAATGAGTAATATCACATTAATATCATAAATCACAAAATATTGCACCCATGTTGGATATACGAAAAAAACTTTAAGTGATTTATCAAACTTTATCAAAAGGAAATATTTAAGATATCTCCTCTAATTTTACATAGGGAAAATTAGTGTTGAGACAATAGTAAGCATTAATAAAGGAAAAGTAATGTATTTAGGAAAATAGTAAACAGTCAAGTGGAAGCTTTTATAATAAATAAAACATAAAAAACACAAATACATAAAATGAAGAAAGCTGGCCGGAAGGGTATCAACGTTAACCACTTATTCACAATGGATTACCAGTTTTTACATTTTACAAAATGTGCCTTTTTTTAGTACTTAATTGCTGAAAGGTTAATTGAGGGCCCTTGCTATTCAAAGGGGGCTACGCTTTGCAGAAGTGATAGGTTAACTTGATATTTTGGTGGAGAGTGATGTGCAGAATGTCGTCTCCTCTATTTGTTGCCTTGATGATGATTTGTCTAAAGCAAGCTATGTGGTTTCAGATTAATCTTCTTGTTTTGGGCGCAAATGAATCTTAGCCTTAGATTTTAGAATAATGCTATATATATTAATTAGTGTACTAATAGATGATAGATGATGTGACACTATTTTAAAAGTTTTGAATATTTGTAATGTGTATAATAAATGTGATCAATAATAATATTATAACACTAATGGACATGTAAAACCACCACTGTAGAATTTATAATCTAGGTAAATTTTTGTTCTTTTTTCCTAGGTTTGTGGACCAAAATGAAAACTATTTTTTGCCTGGGTTCGTGGGCCCACATTTATCACACTTTGCATATAGCATAAGTTCCGTTTGGGAAGTGGATTGACTTTTTAGCTTTTTGACATTTTTGACTATTTTAGCCTGGTGCTAAAAAAACCTGATTTGTAAAGGATTTTTGACTTTTTTGTGAGAGAAATAATGTAATTATTATGAATTAGATGTGATGTTTTGTCTTATTTGACTAAAAAGTCTAATTTTTTTTGTGTGGCTATTTTAGCGAAAAACAAGCCCACAAACCAACTTCCCAAACGGAGCTATAATATATCTATTAAGGTGTTGTTTGAATGTCCTAAATAAGTGCACTTTTTAACTTTTTGGACTAAAAATTTGAGGAAAAAAATATGATTGTTTGGGTTAAATTTTTGACTTTTTATGAAAAAATATGTATTAAAAAATTGTATAAATTAATGTGTAAGAAAAAATTATGATTGAAAATTGTTGGCTAACTTTTTGACTTTTTACCTTTTTTTTCGAAGTGCCAAACTTGGCCTAAATATAGGTCTCATTTGCAATTTTGACCTCTAATTATGCATTAATTAGGTCTATTAAAACTTCACATAAAAAATTTATTTAGCCTCCGTTTGGGAAGTGGGTTGGCTTTTTGGCTTTTTGGCTTTTTGGCTTTTTTGGCTATTTTAGCCTGGGCTTAAAAGCTTGATTTGGGAAGGGCTTTTTGGCTTTTTTGAGTTTTTTTGTGAGAGAAGAATGTAATGATTATGGGTTGGATGTGATGTTTTGTTTGTTATGGCTAAAATAGCCTATTTTGTCTTTTATGGCTAAAATAGCCAAAAAAGCCCAACTTGCAACTTGCCAAACAGAGGCTTACTAAATATCCGTACATTCAATTTGCAGTTTTGACCTCCAATTATGCGTTAATTAGCTCCATCAAAACTTCACACAAAAACTAATCAAACTTTTCAATACGAGTTCTAAAATTTTATTTCATCTTGATATCATATAAATTGACCGAGAAGCATGTAATTGTGAAACCATACCTAGAAGAGAGAAGAGCGAGAACATGCATCGAGGGCACGATCTTCATGATCAAGGCCTTCTCGAGGTATTTCCAGGCCATGGGAACGTTGTTGGACCAACATATGTGAGAGACGAGCAAGTTAGCCAGCTCCGTGGAGGGTAAAGGAACTCCGGCGGAGGAGAGGGTGGAGGAGAGCTGAATCGCCCACATCAAGGGGTCGCCGCCCCTTTCCTGAGCCGACTTGGTGAGTTTGATCACACCGTCCCACATACTGCTACTACCACTGTCTTGTAGAGTCACCGCCATGGTCGCTCTGGTTTCTTAGATTAGGGCAGATCTATGAAGCTTTCATGGAACCGAAACGACTCTCAGAGAGAGAGAGAGAGAGAGAGAGCAGTTTCCGAGAGACAATACTTTTTTGTGACAAGTCAGTTTCGGGGGGGCGTGTATCGAGGAAGCTCCATGCCTCGTCAAAATTTTTTTTACTGATTTGAAAAATAAAAAAAAAATAAAAAATAACCCATCATACTACTAGAAAATTTAAAAATTATATTACAGATTAGTTTGACGAAATTTAAAAATATTAAATTTTTATAATTATCTTTTATTACATTTTAAAAATATTAATGTTATTAAATTGACAAAATAGTAAATTTATGGTAGCGTCTGGTAGAGTTTTTTAAATATAATTTGATAATAGAGTTGTATTTTAAAATCATAGTAATATATTACTGTCAAATAGAGTAATTGTCAAGCAGACTAATATGTTACTGGAAGGCAACATGTCACTGTCAAACAGAATAACATGTTAATGTTACTGTTACTATTTACATCAATTTCAACGGATATAATTTTCTTTTTAAAAAGAATTTCGTAGTTAACATGGATTTCATTTGGTAGGTCGTGATGAAAGAATTTTAAAAATATTAATGTTATTAAATTGACAAAATAGAAAATTTATGATAGCATTTAGTAGAATTTTTTAAATATAATTTGAGAATAATGTTTTATTTTGAATTTGTGAATTTTGAAATTATGATTTAAGTGAAAAATTTACTTAGTTGTGAGTTTTAAAAAGAATTTTTAATTGAGTTTTGCATGAAATTTTGAATTTTTAAAATTAAAAAAATTATTTGATTAAGAAATTTACAACACGTAACTATTCTTATATCTGATTCCCTGGTTTGGCATCATACTAGAAGAGGTGAGTTTGAGGTCAAGAGTCGGTATCAGGTGGCGTTTATAGAACAACATAATGCTACCAATACAATGGCGTCCTCCTCTACCTTGCCTCCGAAGGGTTTCTGGAAGCTGATTTGGTCTCTTAAGGTTCTTCCTAAGATTAGGAATTTTTGGTGAAGAGTTTGTTGCAATAAACTGGCCACGAAGGAGAATTTGTTCAGATGTTGCTATGCTGTTTTCAAAGCTGTGCCCCATCTGTCTTGCCCATACGGAATCCATTGAACATATCCTGTTTTAGTGAAGTTGGACTCGTGTCGTCTGGTTTGGGTGGGATTTGGATCTTCGCACTGGACATGGCCTTATTGATTCAGCGTTTGCTGGGGAAGATTGCCACTGTGGAGTGGTATATCTGGAGAGCCAGAAACGGCTGGGCATTTAATCAATCTTAGATTGATCCGTCTTTAGTTGTCAATCAAGTCTCTGCCTACTAAAGGGAGTTTAATCAGGTTTTCAACCCAATCATAGAGTTCAACCAAGGGGATTCAGCTTCTTCAGCTAGTTGTCGTAAGTGGAGTTGCCCAGTTCCTGGCTCCGTGAAGATTAATTGTGATGCGAGTTTCTCTGTCACGAATAATCGAGCTGTCTTGGCTGTCATTCTGAGGGATGAACGCAGACAACTTATAGATGGGCTTGTTTTTACCATTTTTGCTGCGTCTGTCCAGCAAGGGGAAGCTTCTGTAGTGCTTTTAGCCTGTCATTTTGCTCAAGCCATGGGCCTTTCAAACGTCCAAGTGGAGAGTGATAGCAAAAATGTTATTGAGTTATGTGTTTTGGAGTTGGTTCCACCATGGGATTACAGTGCTTGTGTCCATGATATTAAAGCTCTATGCTCCTCTTCTAATACTTCCTTTTCTCGGGTTCCAAGGGATGCCAATCATGTTGCCCATTGGCTTGCTTCTAGCCATTTAAGGGTTGTCTTCCTTTGGATTGGGTCAGCAATCCTCCTGGCACTTTATTGCGTTTGTTGAGGATTTTTCTTTGTAGCCCCTTGGCATTTACTAGTTCAAAAAAACAAAAAAAAAAAACGAATACACAATTCAAAATTCTATTTAAAATTCATATAAAAATTTAAAAAAATTCGAAAATATTTTTTATTTACAATATAAAAATAACAAGTACCCAAGAAAAAAAAAATCGAATATTTTTCTGATCAACCGGCCGAATGTTCGAGGGACGTCCGGGAAGACGACTGGGTTAGCCAAATTTTTCCGCCTGGAAAAGAGTTTTCAAAAGTAGGTGTGAAATTATAATTTGAAAGCTCAAAACAAATACCACATTCAAATGAGTGAGTAGAAATGTGTTTGGAACACATAACCAAACACAGCCTATGCTATTTTAGTCATTGAATTTTGAAAATAGAATAATATTTTTGGATAATGAAAAAGGAAATAAGATACTAATATTTTGAAATGAAAATAAAATATATATATATATATATGACACTGCGGGCTTCAGATGGAATGGGCCGGATTGATCCACGCTTCCCAAACCGTTACCCAGGGGTTGAGCTCACAGCAAAACCTGCACAAGAGTTTAGCGGGGAACGGGGAGTCCCTCAACGAACCCTCCAACGAACAAGTTAGAGGAGAGTGATCGAATGTCGAGATAGAAATGGTGATAGAGAACTTAATATTTTCTTTGTCTTAGGAGCTTGCTTATATCATTTGCTCATCATTTCCTTGTCCACTCCGGGCTGACACGTTGGCCGAAAGTCTATGTTCTAGGTTGCCTTATTCATGGTGAGGCTGTTCTGTTCCGACGTGAAGGGTTATCGTAATAAATGCTTCAGGGAAGCTTATTAATGGCTGATGTGTGATGTAATAACTCTGTTGGATTTTTGTCTGCTGATGTGGCTGGCTCTTTACTTGCAAAGTGTTTAGATGTCATTGGTGCTTGGTGTAACGTTAGGTTTTAGAAATATTGGGCTTTAGTATTTGAATCATGGATTGGCCCTTAAGTGGTGGGCCATATTCTTTATGGGCTTACCCATGTCAATATATATTTTTGTGTTGTATCAAATTATTATTTTTTTAAATAAAAGAATTAAAAATCAAATTCTCAAATCCAAACCAAACACATTAAAAACTTGTGGAGCAAAATTTAATTTTTTAAATTATTATCAAATACCACTTTAACAATAATATAAATGTGAGAAAATGTATAGTTTTTATAATTGAGAAGGGGTCAAAATGTATAAATTTATAAATTAAGCAATAAAATGATATTCATAATAATTGAAAGACTCTCAGTGCAAGCGTTGTTTGATAGTCACGTTTGTTTGTTAGATTAAATTAGATAGAATCATGAATACAATAAAAGTCATGAAATTATGTTTGAAATGTGAAATAAGTGGGTCACTTGTTGTACTAATTAGTTAGTATTAAATTTATAAAATTAAGAAAAAAAATATTTATCAATGTTAATCCCATTATTGGGGGATTTATAGTCCATTGGATTACCAATCTCACGTTATTTTTTTACAAACAATCATGGTTTAGGTAGAATGTACGAATTACTAATTCAATTCATTCTTTGAAGCAGTCATTCCGCTGGAGATCGGCATCCCAGGAATCAGAACCCAGGGAGTAGAGAACAGGACTAATGATGTACTCTTAGCCCGAGATCTGGATCTTTTAAAATAAAGAAGAGAGAAAGCTGCAATCCAGCTCGCAGCATACCAGCAGCAACTTACAAAAGCTTATAACAAAAAGGTCAATCCAAGAGAATTTCAGTTTGGTGACCTCGTCCTAAGAAAAGTCGTCGGCAACAAGAAGGATCCCAGAGAGGGCAAGCTTGGCCCAAATTGGGAAGGACCCTACAGAATCATCTCGGTACTAGGTAATGGGGCATATCGGCTTGAAGATAATGAGAGCAAAGAGTTGCCAAGACCTTGGAACACTTGTAATTTGAAATTTTTCTATCATTAGAATTTTTTTGTTCCTTTGCCATTTGCCGAAGTAAATAAATAAAGATTCAACTGGTTCTCTTTTCAAAATACTTGACATTATCTCTAGAATACATGCATAATGAGAACCCAAGTGGAACTCAGGTTCATATTAGGGGGCAGAGAGAAAAAGAGAGAAGAATATGTTTAACACTTGTTGAAATTTGTGGACAATTTACAAGTTGAAATTAAACCGAAATCATTGTTTAAACACTTGTTGAAATTTGTGGACAATTTACAAGTTGAAGTTAAACCGAAATCATTGTTTAAACACTTATTGAAATTTGTGGACAATTTACAAGTAAAGTTAAACCGAAATCATTGTTTAACACTTGTTGAAATTTGTGGACAATTTACAAGTTGAAGATTAAACCCAGATCATTGTTTAACACTTGTTGAAATTTGTGGACAATTTACAAGTTGAAATTAAACCGAGATCATTGTTTAACACTTGTTGAAATTCGTAGCAATTTACAAGCCGAAGTTAAACCCAGATTATTATTTAAACACTTGTTGAAATTTGTAACAATTTACAAGTTGAGTTAAACCAGTATGATGTTCAACATTTGTTAAAAGTTTACAAGTTAAGTTAAACCGAGAAGTTTGGCTATCCGAGGTGTGTCACCTCGAGAAAATTGTACAAAGAAGGAAGAGTATGTGAAAGACATGCAGAATATTCTAAATGCAAAAGCAGACAAGAAAATACAAAGGTACAAGCACTCAGTGAAGGAAAGTTGTATTAGCATTCAACAAAGAGATGACACATCGGCCATACGGAGGGCTTACATTGTTTCAAAAACGAAGAAAAACAAAGTACAAAAGAAAAGACATTGAAATTAAGATTCCTCAACATCAACAACAGGCTGGGTTTGGACCTCGGAAGACCGTTGAGAAGCCATCTCGGCCGCCTTTTTTGCAGCAAGCTCAGCATCAATTTCTTGCAAGGTTTCATCAATACTTTTGTCGGCAAGGGAGACATCGGATAAAGCTTTCTCAGGAGCAGCTTCTTTGCGAACCTCTTCATCATCCTCATCTTGAGTCAAATCTAGGACTTGCTCATTTTGAGGAGGAAACTTGGCCCCAGTTGCTTCCTTGGGTCTTCTCGCCAGGGTTTCGTCTTCAGATTCAGATTCGTCATCGGATTGAGCTGGTGAAGGAGTTGGAGGGAACGGAAAAGGAATGGCATCGGCTTTCCGAAGTGGCGAGTCCTCGGGGACCTCAAGCTTCTTTAGAAGAGACA